CATGTCTATATGTGACACGTTCGACGCAACACAAAATTATGGAGTTTGGTTGGGAAGTTCTCCCTCCACCCACCATATTCTCCAAATATGGCACCATCAGATTACCATATTTTTCGTTTGCTGCGACACCATCTTAATGGAAAACGTATGCAAATGTGAAAGGTGTTAAAGGGGACATTGACATGTTTTTTGCTTCAAAGCAAAGTGATTTCTTTAATCAGGGCATTAATAACCGATTGTAAGATGGAAAAGGATCACTGATAAGAATGGAGACTATTTCCTTTAATAAATGTTTTGTTTTGATATATAAGTTGTTTGGGTTTTTTCATCTAAAAAAAAGTGACAGTAATTTTTATGACCTAATACAATCAGAAATGTGGACAACTCCCAATATGTTTGCCTCCCATTATTTGTATGATATCAATGTATTCTTCTTGGTTGGGTATTGTCTTCTGCCTGTGGCGATTCTCCACACGTTTGTTTGCCTTTAACTGAGGTAATTTGACATTTTGGTTTCACTTATGCATCCTTTTTTACCATTTCCGAAATAATTGTTGTTTTTTTGCATTTCTGGATCACATATGGTGGCGGGTGTTGTCTGGTCAGGTATGCAGAATCATTTTATAGTAACACTTACTCTACTCCTTTCTAATGCCCACTGTGGAAATGGCACATTTCTGTAAGACCACTGAATGCTTTACCTATGATTTATCTATATCTGTGTCTCCAGAGGATCGTCACTCATGGACTTTATGAGTAAAGCAGATTGGGAGTTTTGCCCATCCCTACTGACTCGTGATTCTTACAATCTGGGTCTTTCTGCTTTTCAAAATAGGGAAATGCAGACATCCATTGCACTGTCTTCAGTGGGTAATTCCTCCAGAACCCCAAAGTATCTTCCCGCTTCTTTCTTATAATGGAGCATGGGGGTCCTTGCCACTTCTGTTTCCCAGTCACTAAAGTGGTGGATCATGGAGGTTTCCTCACAAGTGGGTTTTGTACAATAACAAAAATCTCACAGTCATTGTTATGCTGCATATTACCATACAATATGGCAGGAAATCTCTTATGCAAGGCACTTCCTCTTAATGGACTGCACTTCATATAATCCAATACATACCAAGGGACTTCCCCTGTAGGTTTTTTGCCTGGGTGGATCTCACTTGTTGATTTTGCAAAATTATGCAAGATGCTTTATGTTGTTTTTGTCCTTGGAGCACACTTGGCATAATACGCCATATCCCAAGGTGCTTCTCCTAGATGTTTTTTGCCCAGGTAGACCACACTTGACCTATTCATATATAGTCCTCTAGCTCTAGCTAAGTATTCTCTTCACTTCCACTCTATGTGTCTTATCTTCTTTACTGAGTGAAGAGCATACCTGTTACAGAAGTAGTGCTCAACCAAACAGGTGTTCCTCATATTTTAATAGTGGTATACCTGCTTTTTTTTCATAGTGGTCGCTCTTATTATTTTTTGCACCTCCGCCAGCCCCCTCCACCTACCTCAATGTGGGATTCTAGCTAAGGGGAAAAGGAGGTAGTTCCATATCGGAAGTTCACATTTTCTAACACTGAAAATGTATTTTTGGTAGGTATTTACCTCCTCTCACCCACTGATTTACTGGTATTTTCAGGTTTGTATATGCCAATTTTCAAAAGTGAGGATTGTGCTACTAGTGTAGAGGGCGAAATGGGTGGAGGTTGGTCATGTGATCAGCACAAATTGCTGCAATGATGCAATAAATGTGGGGTTATAAAAGACTGGTGCACTGCTAATAAGATTTACCAATGCCTAGAGGGCAAATGAAGGTCGAGATAAATATGGGTGAGTAGAGTAAGTACCTATCAGAAATACGTTTTCAGCATTAGAAAATTTTAACATCTGAATGAAAAAAAAAGATTTTAATGGCTGTCACATGCTATTGGAGATTCTACTTCTCCTAGAAGTAAAGTTAGCAATTACTGATAATAGGAAGGAGTCTTTTTTATGCTATGAGATAATTCACAAAACGGGATCAATCAATTCAACCGACCTCGTAACCACCAAAAAAAATTGGAATAAACCTAAATTACCCTTTTTTTCTTTCTAGAATGACTTCAAGTTGTAACATGAAACTACATTTGTTTATCCTAAGTAGCTCTAAGTTCATAACATTATACATCTATTTATAATTAAATTTTATTGTTTTATTGCCCTTTGAACCGTGTCTAACTACTATCCACACCATTATAAGTTGTAAATCACTTGAGGAACATGCAGCTCATGTTACACTATCGAATTGCATTACCTACAAGCTGCTCGCATGCGTGCCTCATGAACCATTTAAATTATATTATTATTATTACTTATTTTACCTAATCTAGTCTTAAATAACTGTCCATATTTTTAGATTTTAGTTACTTTTACAATAATAAATAAAAAATAAATATGAAAAACAAGAAATAAAGTCCTTAACTAATCTTCTTTTTTCTTGCTGTTGGGTTTTGAAGAGGGTTAACCCTAATTTTTTATGCTATAGTTAGTAATGCACTTAATAATTTTTATTTAATTAAATAGTACACAAAAGAATATGGACTAATAACTTGCTAAAAGTAAACAACTTCACTTACCTATCAAAATTTTCCTGGTTTTCTAAATCTGCGACAAGAGCCATTACAAATTCATCCAAGCTAGTCCTTAACTTTACAACAGGAACGAATCTTGTACTGTGAGTGAAATTGACAATATTCTGTTCAGAATACAATATTATAGAATGCATCATTTGACAGAAGAAAACCTTGACTTTCTATTGGTTATAAGTAATATATAATGAAATGTAAGAGAGAACTATCAACGAATTGTGAAAGAGAGGATCTGACAGGTGGGTGTGGCAGGAAGGGTCTAATTTTTTATTTGATAGCTCTATAACAAAACAAAATTGAAGACTATAAAAATTATGGTTTGTCTGAGCAACAACGATTTTATAGAGTAATTTACATTTAATTTCATACATTTTCGAGGGGTGATGGATAAAATAGGGATGATGACATGCTAAAAAAAATGTATCACATGGGTTGCACTAGTGGAAATTCAGGATTTTTTCATATTCCCTTGTGGAATTAAGTACTGAAAACTTGTATACTATTAAAATATAGATTATTAGCTAAGGTTTTATTCTATTCTAATTGGTATAACATAAACAAAAAGTAGTTTAATAAAATTTTGAATGTAAGACACCTTGTGTCATGCACAGTAAAGGATACCTGGGGAGATAGTGTCAAAAGAGAGTCCAGAGTGAAAAGTTTTTGTCTAGCATCTCTAAAGGCATTAGTGTAGGGAACAAAACCTTCAAGACTCTCACTGAACATGACCACGATCAAAACCTGATTGGACATAGAAGTGAGAAATAGTGATTCCATGAATCAGTGAAAAGGATTTTTTTTCCCTTTCCTATATGACAGTGTCTTGGGTAAGAAGACCTGGTCTGAGGATGTAGAGATAGCAATCTGTGGACAAACAGCACAATTCACTCTGCTTGCGATGTCTGTAGGTCATCTTGCCAAGTCTGTTTGAGACCTACAACACGAATGAGCTATCAAATGGGTGATGCCCACTCCTATCTTTTTGTTGTCTCCAAAATATATGCAGATTGGAGTCCCATCATAGCTCTTTCCTGTCTGTATTCTTATCTGTGGTGTCCTCCCTCTTACATTGATGAGTTTTTTGCTCCAGTGGGTTCTGTCTTCCAGTTCTGGCAAAGCTGTTCAGTTTTCTTCAGCACAATACGTGTTTTGTTGAGTGGTATGCTCTTTTGCACGTTAGTTTCACTCGCTAGGTTTTCAGACTCCCTATTACATGGACGACTGGCTTCTGCTTGCCTCTTCCAATGCCTAGTCAGTCACTAACACCTGCTTACTTTTACGATGCTCAGATGGGTTTCTCATCAAGTTGGAGAAGACTTTACTACCTTCTCGCAGCATCTTTTTCATTTGGGGTTCTCTTCATTTCCTGTCTCAGTTGAGCACAGTCTTCTCCACGTTGGCCCTTCAACATAGAGTGGGCAGTCATGAAGGCCCTACCTTCTCTTTCTGCATGAGAGGTTCTCTTTCTTTGGGGTTGTAGTCTTCTTTAGAAGCTCACATTCCCTTTGGTCGGGCACATATGCACTCCCTTCATTGGATACCATCTCCCTTCCACCTAGGATCAGGGCTGACTTCATTTGGTGGCTCAACAGGGACTTGACCATGGTGGGGGTTCTCATTCCTCCACCTTGTACAGAGTCTCGCCTGTTTAAAGATGCTTCCTTGGTGAATTTAAAACATTTTACAAACTCTATACAGTTTTGAGGAAGCAATTCCAAGCATATACCTTTTCAATGAAAATATCACAACATAAAAGAATAAACAAGTTTCTTGTTGCTCTATACATAATGTGAGATTGATGCATGTATTATATCAATTTTAAAAGCTCAATCACCAAAAACCTGCCATAGAATAGAATATTCTGTGGTATTATCATTAATTCAGGCAGTTAAAACTGATCCAAGTGTGTTTCTCTTAATCCACTGTGTAATTTGTGTATATCAGTCTTGAATCATAAAACTTAAATGGACATGTTTGTTAAGATATTCTGATAGACATAATTGGTGAAGATAAGGAAGGTTTAGCTTTCAAACTTATTTTTATGTACTTATTTGAATTATTCTCTGTTTTAATATTTAGTTTAGATTTAAGGGTCTGGTATTTTCCTTATGTATATTTTTCTCATAATAAGATCATTTTAACTTGTTTTAATGCTGCTTTTGAAATAATTGAGATTGTTTTTACTTATATGAAACACTGTGGTATAATATCACCCAGAATATTATTATGTATGAAAATAACTCTTTTTATGTAAGATAAGTTTTAAATATTTTAATAACTTGCACTTCATCTTTTAATCCATTTACAGTTAAAACCATTCATAGTGAATTTATGTATAATCCTCTTTGTATTTTAATGTCATTTTTTATACTATTTGCATTAGAGCTCATAATTCAACTTTTGTAAATTAATTTTCAAGTAAATCCTAATATATATAAGAAATGCACTGTATTTATTGTATAATAAAGCTTTAATTCATGCTACAGAGATAAAACATAGGAGAGCACAAAATAATTCTTATTTTCTTTTTTTTTTAACAGTACACAAAAAATTTCAATGAACTATTAGCAAAGAATGCAAATCTTCGAAAAGACATTGAACACTTGTTAATGGAACGATCTCGATTTAATACCATTCATCATAGAATCAGCAAACAGTTGTCTGAAGGAAAAAAGGAAGTTATGGGGCTGATTGAAAAAGCAACCCATTCATATGACCAAAGGTTTGGTAAAGCATACACTGTATTAACTTTGCAAAGATATATATTACTATGCTACATCATTGACGTTTTGAAAAGCCTAAAATACAAGTTTACTAGAAGATCTCTCATTCTAATTACAAAATAATGGACGTCATTAGGCTTGTTATTCTGTTCAGTACTTTTAATTATAAGTCTGATATGGATTAAGAAGTATGAACTTAGTTATTTATTATAAAACCATATGGCTAGTCATCAATAATATAAATCATGGTCTCAGCATAGTCTGTACCAGCATTTCTCAACCCATGGGTCACAACCCAGAATTTGAAAATAAGTAATAGTTTAATAATTTATTTAGTAATACAGATAATGTTGCTCTTAAGCTACATCTAAACTTCAACATAACATGCTTCGACACAATATGAATTTGAATGTATTGTGGTTAGTGTTTGGACCTCATTTTTATAAATGAAGAAACATAAATGGTGGTGGTTTCTTGCTTTGGCCATATAATGTTTGACTGTTAAAAAAATCATAGGAAAAACATTCTTCTGCAACCATTTGATTACTTTTAAATAACAAATTGACTAAATCAAAAGCCAGTGTAAAATTAGTGTAATTCTTTCTTTACAATTGCCAAAAGTGAATTTGGTCTTTTTTTTTAGACTAATTAGCCTTTCGTCAGTCACTTCAATAGCCATTGTTCATAATTCTCATGATTATCTACAGCTTAAATCAAATAGTAGTAATCTTTTTGAGAGCAAAAACTCCTTTAGCTTTTGTAAAGCCATATTTATTGCAACCACACTGTATAATTCTTGGTATTGCCATGCACAAAGGTAAGGTTCATATAAAAACCCATCAAAAATCATTGCCCACTATTCCTACATTCTATAAACTGTAAGTGTTCTTTGCGAATTATAGTTTTCCCTCATGTGGGCCTCACTGCAAAATGGAAAGAGGTGGGTGGGGTGCCACTGTGTTTGATTTATTACATGAGCAATATCTTAGCAAACAGAAAAGATTGTTTTTTTGTTTGTTTTTGAATTTTGCGCAAAGCTACACGAGGGCTATCTGCACTAGCCGTCCCTAATTTAGCAGTGTAAGACTAGAGGGAAGGCAGCTAGTCATCACCACCCACTGCCAACGAATAGTGGGATTGACCGTCACATTATAACTCCTCCACGGCTGAAAGGGCGAGCATGTTTGGTGGGGTGGGGATTCGAACCCACGACCCTCAGATTGTGAGTCGAGCGCCTTATCCACCTGGCCATGCCGGGCCTAACAGAAAAGATAAGACATTCTTATTTTTATATTGTAGCTTGTCAATAATGGTAATTTGAGTTTCTAATTCATTCAAAACTATAGACTTAGTATTTTGACTTCACAAACATCTAATTTGAGCCAGTGCTGCATTCAACATACCACATGACACACAGAAATTGATGTTTAGCAGTGTTTTTTTATATTTACTTTTCAATTAAGAAATTGAGTAATTTATAGTACTAAAGTTTGAATTATAGTCTACAGTTTGATACCAAACTTATTGACATAAATTCATCAAATAAGGAGTTCAATAAAGTTTTGAATGTGAATCAACAAATGAGATGACATGCCATTTTACCTGTGATCCATCTCAAAGGGTTAACTACTTCAGCTAGATTATACAGATGGGTGAGTATTTTGATTGCTAAATTTCAGGGTCGTTTTCACAAGATCCTACTCTGTGGCGAGTGTTGTCTAGGCAGATATACTTTCATCAAACCAATTCCACACTAGCAACCACTAATTCAATATACTTTATCTAGTTTGCAACAGGCTCTGTAGAAGCATGGTGTTCCATAAGACCACCTTGAGGCTGACCGGGTGATGTCTCTGTGCTATGCTGGACCACCACTTATGGACTATCATGAGTAAAGCATAAGGCGATCTTGTCCATCCTTGCCAATCTTTGGATTGAGTATATTGGGGTCAGTTTGCATTTAAAAATATAGAGAACTTGGTTCACCTATTGCACTGTTCCTCAGGACTCCCCAATGCATATTACTCATCAGATTCTACTAGTAGGTCTATGTAGTCATTAACACCCCCAGTTTTTAGTCACTGGGATGGTGGACAGAGGCCTTTCCTCCATTGTGTTAGAATGATTTCCTCCACTGTTGGAGAAGAGGACAAAGTTGGGGCCTTCCTACCCAGGTCCCTGGACAACTGGAATTTACCTTGACCACACAATTGGGAAGTGAGGATGAGTGTTCATAATTCCAGACTAGACGAGTTCTGCTTCCTCAAGTTAAGTATTGTGCAGTAGATCCCATCATTCCGAGCCTGGGATGTTGCCTTTTGGACTTGTTCAGGTGGAGGTGAAAGTGTGTCCACTTTGATGTTGCTTAACTTCACATCATGATTCCGGTTGTTCGGAACACATCACTATATGGCTACAGGTTGGGATGGGGAACTGTTCTAGTTACCATCTTGAGAACACCATCTTCATTGTCTTTGAATGTCCATTTTTCACACTGACATTTGAAATTATGACACTAATAAATATTACTAGGTTTTTTTGTGCAAGAAGCTAAAGTCTTTTTCTAGAGTAGCTCAAATGTCAGCTGATGCGCTTTTCCAACGGAATATAAATCATGTTGGATTACCTTCCTGATTTTGTGTATTAGATATAGTAATACCATTTTCTCATCCTTCTTTAATTCCTCAATAAATTGCTTCTTTCTTAGTGTTTTTGTTTCTTGATTGTTGCTTATTAGCTTCTTCCAAATGTTAGTTGATGCTCTTTTCCAAGGAATTATAATTCATGTTGGATTACCTTCTTGATTTTGTTTGTTAGATATAGTAATACCATTTTTTTCATCTTTCTTTAATTAATTCCTCAATAAAATGCTTCTTCCTTTGTGTTTTTGTTTCTTAATTGTGGCTTATCAGCTTCTTTCATAGCTGATTACACAGCTGCCTCATTTGCCACTTTCAGATGTCATTGTTCATAGATCTCTTTTGATTGAGCCTTTCATCTTGAATAACCCCTAGTTCATAGACTCTGTCCCAAATATGGTTTGGGCTTAGTACCCTTATGTTTCTTGTCTTTTTCCCTATTTGAACCCATAGTGACTTGTTTGCTCCATCATCCTTCACTCAAATAAGTTATTTTCATTAATTGCATTTGCCAGAAGATGTTCTGATATTTATGCCTTTGATTTTTCTCAGAAGCCTTTAAACATACTTGCAGATCAAGCTTTCCTATCAAAACTTGGGTTGCAAGAAAATATAAGTATTGTTTTTCACTGTTGTACTACTTTCCCTGTCTGAGTAATGTTTTATGATGTTCAGTCAGGTGTATTTATTGTTACCTCATATATACTGAATTTTTTAGGAAAATTCAGAAAAGCTTATACTAAATATGAATGATGCTCCTCTGTTTTCCTATGACAAATTGACTTATACAGTTGATCCTCCTCATTTATTGTGATCTTCTTGAATACCTTAAAAAGTGGATTTTGTGTTACATCTCACCAGGTTTGCCATTTGGTGATGCCTTGGCATCTTGGTCACAGTATCTTATAGAGGCTGTCTTGTGGACAAATCTGGAAATGTTCTTGTTTATTGACATCATATTGCTGTTTTTTCAGTTTCAGGATTCTGTTTTCATTTGGCTGTGATTCTTCAAGCCAAATGGGAATTCTAGTAGGTGAGTTCTTCTATATTCCATGCATCTTTACCTCTTAAGACTCACACCCATGTTGTATATGGCAATACATATTTTTATACTGCCCAACACCCCTGTTTACAATTTTCGGAATGTCTGAGGCTGAAAAATTAAATTATTGGATTATAAAAAAATGAGTAATAAAAAAACCATGGTCTCTCCTCATAATATGAGACTTTATGTATGTATTTATCCATGCAGAATTCTTGCATGTGATATATACCTCTGCATTTATCCTACACAAAAATTCATTTTCTACACTGTAGCTTCATGAGAGGATGATATTCTTTAGAAGTGAACAAAGGATGCTATCTGGTAGCTGATGATGCCTGATATGTACCTCTTGCACTTCAATATAAAAGTCAATGCATAGCATTCAAAACATTGAAGATAAGATGTCTGTTCCACAAATGATGTCCGATAGCTCCAACCATGATGGGTGTCACTTTGTATCGTTCTTCTTATTTTTTGTTAACCTCAATTAGTGTTCCACTTACGCTATCCTAGAGTTGTCAAGCACATCCTTAGGTCAGCCTAGGTTGTTTCAGTTCTCTCTGGGTGCACACTGACAAGGCCAATTGTGTGACTTGGCCGGCCTTTTCAGAGTGATGAAAGGGTCTTATCCCCAGGAGTCCATCCAGTCAACTTATGGGATTAATGTACTTGTCAAAATTCTATATCAAAATTTGGTATATATAGTATAATAACATCTTGAAATTTATTTGTATAAGTACTTTTTCTTTATGGAAGAACTTTAATAAGGTAATTGTTATGTAAAAGAAAAAGCACTAGAAAAAATTGCTTAGAACTATATTTGGACATTAATCTGTAAAAAAAAAAATAAAAAAATAAATGTTCTTGAATAACAGTATTATTTTACAGAATTATTTTGTGCATTGTATTGTATTCAGCTTAAAAATATACTATAATAAAGTAGTTCCCAACAAATTATACTGCATTATCATCTTGGAATAATGGTGCTGCTCACCCTTTTTGGTGACCATTTTTGTTTGATGTAGTTTGAAAGTCAAAACATTGCCTTCAGATGTAATAAACATGAAATTTGGATTCAGAATTTCAAAATCATGGGTCAAACAGTGCTTGAAATATTTTATCATAACGGTAATATGTAAAATTGGCACTCATCCTATTTTTAGGCAGCCATTTTATTTTTCTGCTTTTTAAACATTACGCTTGATAGATGCAGCTTGGCAGGCAGCATAAATGGGTTTTGCATCCCCAAGCCCCTGAGAAAAAACTTTTTATCAACTTTTACTCCAAAATGTCTGAGGATATTATATTTTCTGAA